TAAAAAATACCCATTACTCTGCGGAACACCCCATCCTTGACTGGTTCATCCGGATACATCGGGTCCCCAATATCAAACATCTCAATAACTTTACTAGCACTCATAACTCTATTGTTATTATAATAACTTTTGTAGGCATAAAGCCTATAGTTTAGTTGAAAATATAATAGTTGGAGAACTGGAGAAAATATAAAATTTGAAAAAAAATTAAACCCCAAAACTGTTAACAAGTTCTGTGAAAACCTGTTCTTTGCTCACTAGAACACGTGCTAATGAGGGTACTGTAGAGTTACGATATATGTTTACTCGAAATGGAACACAGCTGTATTGTGATCTAGTTGACGAATCGGAACAACAGGAAGTTAAATCTGTGCGTAGTGGATGTGTGGAGTCTATAAGAATCTTATGTGCAAACTTCTCATATGCATTCAAATGACCTTCGTATAGGTTAGTTACCAACTCTTGCAGCGGTATTCAAGAGTCATGGCTAATGATGGTCAGTCCGCGTCGAAGCAATAATGTAAAACGGGAAAATACACTGGTACACGAATTTGGAAATAATCAAACGTTGAATATGAAACTGACGAAGTTTAGGGATATTAAAAGAAAGTTGTCGAAGTTTTCCGGCGATATGTTGAATGCGAGAAGTCTAATTAGGAACAGTATCAATGAAAAACCCCAAATAATTAATAAAGCTTACCCGGAATACTGGTTCAGAGCCAATCGACTCAGATCGGTTCCGATGAGGAAGAAGAGCGTGACCATGTAGAGAGACAGACGAAACATTCGGAGGGATTAGGAGATAAACCAGATGTTGATATTCATCCATATTTCCAGACGACAGTATATACCATATGCGTGGGAAATATTCAATTTCATTCGAGCCGCTAGTTTAGACCTTAGCCGGTTATTCGAATGAACTGAACGATTGTAATTCGGACAACCAATTTAGTAAGCTATGTAATCGATCAACTAAACAAACAAATTATCACCATCTCCCCGTCACTAATCGAGTTGAAACAGTCAGTGTAAACCCCTTTGAACAAATCATTTTAAACAGATCGATCGATAAAAACAGTAGCACACTGTTGGAATTAAGTGCAACGCGTGGTTCTTCGCGCCTGCTCATTTCTTTCTTTGTAAGCAGTGCGGAATTAGGCAATTGATGTGCAAGTTTTCAGACAAAAACAAATCACCATTAAAACGCTTTCTGAAAAAAAACAGACAAACTATGTACGGAACACTCAATGCACCACATGAATTGAACAGTTCAATTGTTGTTGTTCAGTTTGCCTCCAAAAGCCGCAGTATTCTCGGGGGTGAATGTCTAGAGTTGCGGCTGGTCATTCTACTCTTGCACCTCGCGAAATGCTCCCATACACGACCAAGTGTCTCAAGCAGCCTCTGCTGAGGAATCCCTACTCACTGCCTTCTCGTGGAGCTGTTTTTCCACCAAAGTGAAAGGACGAAAAGTCAACATACAGGGTAGTGGACCACTGGCAGTTCACCTAGGGGAGTTGGCCAAAACCTTGATTCCAAACAAACCAAGAGGAGACGTACGATCACACACCATCCCGGTTGTGCCAGTGGTCACTGGCTCGATTGGGCATCAAGGTGTATTGCACAACTTAGACGTTTGACCACGTCCAAAGGGCGAATGATCCGATGAGCTGGACACCGGCCTCAATGGATTGCGGTTCTCACACACCGCCCCACTACCTTGCGGGTCAGACTTTGGTTACCCGAAGGCTCCGGTTGTGGATTCAAGAATATTCGCCTGTCTTGGCCTGGGCAACTTGGCAGTATCCAGTCCACATGCAAACCGTGGAACGTTTTTCTTTTATAAAGATTATTGTACCACAATTTTTGGCACACAGTTTGGTCTCGGACTTGTGTGAAATATATAATATATGATATTCCCAATGAGGAAACTAACACACGCAACTCGTGTGGTCACGCCCACAAGTCAAAAATTCGAATCAGATTGTTGTCTGTTCTGATTGATGAGGTCACATTGATTCGCGTAGCTGCTGTTAAATGGTTTGCCCGAGAAGTATATCCCCAAATATCACGATCTCTTTACACTAGTAACCGAAAGCGAGATTGAGTGTACGGCACCTTCACGCCAGAGTTGGCCGAGGAAATAAATTTGATACTTTAGAGTCCTTCCTATGCTCGTGCTAGGACGGGTTCAGCGATGTTTTTTTCTATTACACAACGTAGTGTGATGAACAGTAGAGACGGGAAGAGCCCCATAGCCACGAGGACCAGCTGTTCAGCGATATAAACCGGTACCTGAGCTACGGGGGGTGGAAGTAGCGAACCGTATAAGACCCCGATAAGTTAGGCGGATGGTATTGAACCGGACGACAGCTAAACCACTCGCCAACAAAGTTGTGAGCGGCAGCAGAGCTTGAACCTCTAACCATAGGGTTCAAAGTGCGCCGGTGACAGCGACCAAACCATTGCGCCGCCATCACTAGGTTGCGAATTGTCTGATCCAAAGTAAGCTGACGATGTTTTACTGTTAGATATGTTCTACGCTTTACTGAATGGTTTGTGTATTAGTGTACCTATATTCGGCAAGCTTTTTGCACCGCCAGTGTAAAACGTTACTGCAGGACGGGGTTGATACAGGCTTCGGAGTCAATCTAACTGGGGAATTAGACAAATTCTGCTATTTGGGCAGCTATATTTCAACTGGCGAACGCATCACAGATGTTTGCAAGCATACAGGTTTGGTTGGCATTTGCCAAGTTGACACATCTGTGGCTCCATCACAACATCCGGCTGTCTATGAAGGGTCGAGTGTCTGCGACATCAGTTCCGCCAGTGCTGCTTCAATGGTGCAGAGACTTGGTCATTGAGGAAGCAAGATAAAGCATCAATGTCTACGCTGCATTGCATGAATCTGGTGCGACAGTCGGACAAGCAATGCTCAGGTTATGTACGGTTACCGGAAATTGCGGCGGCCACTGGGGCAAGAGTTCGACCTCCATAGATTACGTTGGTTAGGGCACGTGTTACGCATCTCACCAAATAGATCGCCACAGCGTGTGACTGTCTTCCGAGAAGCGATCAAACTCGCACCTAGCATAAAGGTATCAAAAACCCAAACCAGGCAAAACTCGGTCGCGATAGGATTTCTGGACCTCGGGATCGGCGCAATCGACGGTTTGAGACACCGAGTGATATGACACCTGAGTGTTTTTGCAACTGCAATCTGCCAGAAGACGGGGCGAAACCCATAGTCACGAGGACCTGCTGTTCAATGGTGGAAAACGGCCACTTAAGCGGCCGGATTTGGAGTGGCCAATCACAGAAGACCCCCGATAGGTTAGGCGTGACATTGAACCGGACGACAGCAGAGCTGCCTACCACGAAAGTCGACGGGCGAGGCTGGATTTTTTTGTATCTTCGACTCAGTCACACGGGACCCCAGGATTAGGAGAATCACAAACCCCATAAACCGCAGATTTAATTTTCCAGTCAGTCAGTGCAAACATTGAGAGTGAACGAGAGACGACAGAACCAACAAGAAATTATTATATCCACAATTAAACTGTTAAACGTCGATAGTTCCAAATGAAGGAGACAAGAAAAACAAAGGATTGGAATGAATGTGTGTGTTGGTGTGTGTGTGCAACTGACACAAGGTTGAATATTGCACCAGTGTCAAACCAGTGCACCCCACGTGAGCCAGTTAAATGGAAGTTTCTTCTGGAGAATGGGAGCATAAGCAATCTCGCTCTCCTTTCTATACATATATGTATATGCTTCTCGCGGTTCTACGAGGAATGTCTGTTAGAATAAACCA